GACACCCCGACATTCACCCGGCCCGTCCTCCATCGGAGGGCGCGGGGGGCTGTCCGCAGCCCGGCTCCTCGGCTCTCTGTGCCCGGGGGAGCGGCTGGAACGGGAGAAGGCGATGGGGCCTTTCCYCACCCCGGAGCAGCGCCGGCAGCGCGGTCCCCGGTGTGGCGGCCCCGCTCCCGGGCGGAGTGTGCTGCAGCCGGACCGGCCCCGCCGCCGCCTTCCGGTGCCGCGGCCCCATGGACGGCAACCTGCGCTTCTGGAGGGCGGAGGGACGGATGGGGGTGGGGATGGGGATGGGGATGGGGATGGGGATGGCGGGCGTGGGGACACTGATCGTGCTTAGGGAAGGACCGCACTAACGCCTCGTCTCTCTCAAACGTGTCTCCCTCAGACTTTCCTCCAGAGGTTCCTCCTGTGGGCGGACGCCTTGGATCCGCTGCTGCTCCTGAAATCCTCCGTGAGTTCCGCGGGGAGGGTGGAGATGAGAGAGACTGAGGGACCGTGGCTGTGCCGGGCTGGGAAATGCTGAGGAGAAATACATAGAGGAGAAATGTAGCAGTGAATGTGGTATTGCGGTGCCTAATGGGCTGCAGGAGAGCTGGGAGGGACTTTGGACAAGGGCACGGAGTGACAGGACAAGAGGGAATRGCTTTAAACTGATAGAGGTCAGGATTAAATTAGATTTTGGGAAGAAAACCTTCCCTGTGAGGGTGGGCAGCCCTGGCACAGGGTGTCCAGAGATCCCTGGCAGTGCCCCAGGCCAGGCTGGACATTGGGGCTGGGAGCCCTGGGACAGTGGAAGTGTCCCTGCCAGGGACAGGGGTGGCACTGGATGGGCTTTAGGGTCCCTTCCAACCCGAACCATTTCACAATTCTATGATAAACAGAAAATCACGTGTAGGCACTTCTGTATCTGCTTGCATAAACCCATGGGCATTTCTAGACATTTACGTGTAGGTAATTCTATATCTGCATACATAAACCAATGGGCATTTCTAGACAAAACCATTTCACMGTCCTGCTCAGACTGTGGCTGCTGTGCCAGCAGATGAATTATCCCAATAATCTAAAAGTTTCCATGATTGTGAATTGTTTGTGTGCCCAGGTGTGTTTGTGCTTTCTCTGCTCAGGTGAGGAACAGGTACATTATTCTCCTCTGGGTTTGTATTTAGAGTGTTTTATAACTGATATATTGCATTCAGAATATTGAAATCTGAGTTAATTTTTGTTTGTTTTTTCTCAAATACAGAATGAAATAAAAAGAAACAGGTTATTAATACAAATCAATGAGAAGACCCCAAGYGAACCCATACAGAATAATCAGGTATTTGGACTGCAGTGAAACTCGAAACTAGTTTAGCCATACTTAAATTGTTGGTTTAAGTTTTAAAATGTCTACTAATTTAAWTTTTTTTAAATTAAGCTTCTGTTTTGCCATAGTGTGTTCTTTGGTACCGTTACACACCCCATGTTATACTTGAGTACTTTGTATTCAACAGGGAAAGAAATTTTAGGGAAAAATAATTAAAGGGRTACATAAATATATACACATTGTATAAAAGGAAGTGATTAGAAAAAGAGATAGAATAAATTTATAAAGATATTACCTGGTCTCTTTTAAAATTTGATTACTAATCTAATTTTCCAATTGTTGTAGAAAAAACAAGCCTTCTTGCTAAGCCTGGTAAGTTTACAAAATATTTATAATTTTTTTTCCTTATTCAAGTACAACAAGGGTGCTCTAATTTGCTTTGTTTTTTCCTTTTCTTTTTAAGTCTAGCRTACATCCTGATACAGGCAAGATAATTCCTGTTTTGTTTAGACCTCCAGGTAGGTTCCTTAAGTGAAATTCCGTGTGTGTGACTGAAGCACAAGGGGAAATAACAACAGAAAAGCAAGTGGACTCTTCTGTTAATTGCACTGGTATATGTGTTGAAGATTCCTTTATTTATTCTTATGGTCCCGTGGAGGAATTTTTCCCAAGGATAATCTGCTCATTTAGACGGAAACAGTCTGATCACTCTCTGTTTCTTGTCGCTGCAGAATGAGTTCCCAAATCCCTCCACATTTAACTGTCTACTCTAATTTCAGCTTTTCCCTTGATGGATGTGGCTGCTGGATGAATTTACTTCTGGTGGGAGATAAAGTGTGCTTGGGGTGTTGTTTAGAGAGCCCAGGCAGCACWGGTTGTTAATGGATATAACCATACTGAGGATGTTTACTCTTTATCTCCTGTAACCACTCACAACTGTGGCAGCTTTTGTTACCACTTCACTTTTTGAATAGAGTTGAATATATGTTCAGTTATTTGGTTTCCAAGTAGCCCTGGTGAGTGGAGTTCATGAGGGCTCCTTTTTGGCTGTGAACTGTGAGCAGGGATTCTTAAGAAAGGAGTGAGAGACAAAGGTTAGGGTTGGGGTTTATGGTGATRTTAAGGTTTGTGGACTGTTTTACTTAGAGATGGAAATAGAGGGGTGGGCAGTTGGGGGAATTTTCTTCTCAAGACCATCCATCTACATTCACAGATGTTATTTTTACTGAAATAAAGTTTCCTTTCTTTTTAGCTTTCATGCCCATAACTCTTCCCTTGGTGAGTAATCATGTCAGATGCCAGTGTGCATCCAGCAAGGCTTCCATTCTCCAGAATCAGGGGCTGGAGGGAGGGAATAAAAGGTTTTGGGCTGCTTCACTGTACTTTCAGCACAAGGTGTTTGAAAGACATCTGTTTATGGAAAGTGCTSAGTAACCTGGAAATTGAGGCCTTAAAGACTCTCTTTGGAAGTACAAAGCTGTTAGTTATCCTTCTCTAGCAGCATTCCAAGAGATTGTTATGTGTGAAGKACAGCTTTCTGATGCAAGGTGAACTTGCTCAGCATTGAGAGCAAGGCCTGGGTTTGGTCTGTTTAACTTCAAAAATCTGGAACTGCAGTGGGAAGGAGCTGGAGCCTTGCGTTCTGTGTTTCAGACCCAGAATATGAATTTGTTCTTATGTAGATGGTGCATTTGCAAGTAGGAAATGGTGTTGTCAATAAATTACCAAASATATAAAAATAAACTCTTGTTACTGTGCTCAAAAATTGCACCATTTTGTTTCGTAAAATTCGTTGCTGTAATTAAGYGGATGTTTATTCATTTAGATGTCTTTGGGTTTGGCCTATGAGTGTAGATTCTGATATCTGTTGTTCCATACAGACATCACAGCGTGAACTTCCATGGCACAGC